ATTTTAAATGAGAATTACAAAATCAACCAAATATTTGATATATGTTTGGCATACCAAATTCAAAAAACAATAATATTTAAATATTTACATTTGGTTTTCATTTTTACTTTGAGTTAAAGTTTTAGTAGTTTTGTATTTCTTTACTTTTGTAATTTGTATTAGTTAAAAAAACATCTATATAGTTTTTATTTAATTTTAATATTAGTTATTCACATTTTTTAATACTTGAAGTACTAAACTAAGTTTAGTTCAAGTTTTCACATTTTCATTTTATTTCAGTTTACTTTATTTAATGTTTGTGGTTTTAGGTTTCATTTAGTTAATGATAATAACCCTGCATGAGCAATATAACAATTAACAATTAATTTTTGCAAAATGAAACCAAATATTCAAACATTGTACACATTCATTTAGCATATTTAAAATATCAGTGTTATTTTAGTGTCATTGAATTTTTGAAGTTTTATTATATTTTATTATATTTTCTGTTTTCATTTTAGTTTTAGTTAAGGGTTTAGTCATTTTGTTTGTTTATATATTTATATAGTTTTTATTAAGTTTTAAAAAATTTGGCAAAAACAACATGTTGGTAAAAAAACTGATATCTTAAAATAAACCAATGACTAATTTTTGCAAAAGAAACATTCAAGCATTTTATATATTAAATTAGCATGTCAAAATTTAGCAAAATGAAAAATGTAATTAATCGTATTCATGCACATTCGACACTCTTATTGAGATGTAATGAACAGAATGTAATGTTTTTTGTAACCATGCAGAGACCTCAGCTTGACCTCCATATTTTGTTTATCTGCTGTTGTATGCAGGAGGCGATGCATGGTCCAAAAAGACACAAGAGGCACAATGTACCCAAAGCAGGAACAAACATTGAGATCAAACTACCCCATCCTACACTAAATTCAGCTCTCATATGGAAATATGATATTTTGTAGTTATTATTTAAATCTGATTATTTTTCAAATTGTTTGTTGTAAATAAACACCTCAGGAAAATCTTATGGGGTTTCAAATCAGAATATGGCTTTTTGTTATGAAACAGTGCATCGTTTTCATACACGTGTTCGGCAGTGGACACCAGGACATACAGCATGTTATATATATATATATATATATTCCCCACCTTTGTTTATTATGCTCAACTACCAAAAAAATAAAAAATAAAAAAAATTCACAAAACTTTTTTAATGGTTCTCAAGAGAATATAGATAATTTATCCATTCAATGTTTTTGTTTAGTGTAATCAATAGAAAATAATATTGTTTAAAAAAGATTAATATTTTTTATTTTTAAACAACTTTTTAATCCTGAAATCCTGAAAAAATTATCACAGTATCGCAGATATCACATACTATAAAATATCACAGTATCAGGTTATAAAATAACTATTAAGTTTCTTACATTGATAATAAATCAGTACATTAGAATGATTTTGAAGGATCATGTGACACTGAAAACTGATGAACATAATGACTGATGAAAATTCAGCTTTGCATCACAGGGATAGATTATATTTTAAAGTGTAGTAAAATATAAAACCATTATTTTAAATTGTAATAATATTACTGTTTTATATTAAAATATTACAGTATTACTGTTTCTTCAGTATTTTTGATCAAATAAATGCAGCCTTGATGAGCCTAAGAGACATCTTATAAAAACATTAATAATAGTAACTTTTGACCGGTACACTCTAAAAATATGCTGGGTTGTTTCAACTCAACTTTGGGTCAAATATGGACTAACCCAACCGTTGGGTAAAATTTTTACATAAAATTTTTAACCCAAAAGTTGGATAAGTCCATATTTGACCCAAAGTTGGGTTGAAACAACCCAGCATATTTTTAGAGTGTACTGTATAAATAAAAATATACACAATTTAAAATGAAAGGTTGTATAAATAAAAAAGTTAGGAATCATATTTGCTTTTTTATTGGGGGTGGGGGGCCTCCAACATGAATTTTACCTAGGGCCACCAATTGTCTAGAACCGGTCTTGCAGGCGAGGGCAGGTGCGTGTTTAATTTGCTGGAACTGCTGCGCTGCAGTGTCAGAGAGAACAACTTGTTCAGTGACTCTGACGTGACTCAGGGTTGCCTGTAATTCTGCAGTTTTCTGGGCATAATTTTTTCCACCCACAGGTGACAGAAGTTAAATACTCTACGGAGCCCGGGAAGTCACCTGTAGGAGAAAAAAATAACAATCCGTGGCGACGGTTTTGCAATCCGTCCCCTCAGTTTATAAGCCGTACTCACAAATTCTTAAACTGTTCCTTCGGTTTAACAAATCGTGCCCATGGATTAATAAACCGTACCCACGAATTTCCGATCCGTGTGCTCAGATTTTGTAAACCGTACCTTCGGTTTTTTAATCCATACCCACAATTTCATAATCCGTGCACACGCTTTTGCAAACCCTTCCTCCTCGGGTTTGTAAAACTGTACTCACGGTTCATTGCAGC